CATGTGGCAGCAGGGAAAATGGCCGCGGATCCGGTTCATAAGTAGAGGCGCGTTCGGTAGCAGAGGTAAATTTTTGGGGCCGGAGCTGGTCGTATCTCAAAAAATTCGTAAGTAGGGGCGTTCGTAAGTAGAGGTACCACTGTACTGCAGGACCGGGAAAGTTAAGACCAGAATTCTCCTTCTGGTCATCCAAGTTGAAAATGCTCCTGAACTCTCAAGAAATTGCTTTAGGCCTGGACCCCGGTGTCAAATGACATGGCAAGTCTAAGCAAGCAAGAATGACCAGGATTTCAGGAAGGGATCTTTACTACTAGGCTGAAGTGAATACAGAAACTTGAAAAAATGTCAGAGTACATTTCCAGCCTCAGTTATAGTGGGTTAATTAAGATGGAGACTCTTTGAAACACGTTTCCCCCAAATTTCTCATATCTGGGCTTGGTTGCCTGTTCTAAGATAAACTTTTAATACCTTGTTCCTCACTTTCCCATAATCTCTCACACATAGAAACAGAACAAGAGCTTGGGACACACACACACACACACACACACACACACACATACACACGTAGCTAGGACGATCTACCTGGCAGTGAGTAACTCCATTTTTGTACATTTAAGGCATTTAGATAAAGTCAAAGGAATTTGGAAAACCCACTCAGATTATATAAACAAGACCCAGAGTTTCCAAAGTCTCCCATTTCAGAAAAGTCTCAGGTGTCTGGAGGAATCTAAATCTGCATATACATTTTAAAGACAATCATGATCATGTGACTGAGAATGAAGAATTGCCTATGAAATGCATGCTCCAGGAAAAAAAAATGGTCTATTTTAATTAGACTGTGCATATGATAAGCTAACAGCAGCAAAGAACTGCAACCATAAAATTGATTAAATGTGTGGCACAGAAAAATGGGACATAGAGATCCAGATGCTATTTGTAAATTTGACAAAGAAGGTGCGCTTCCACGGTCCTGAGAGATAACATTGTTTAATCAAAGGAACCCAGGGTGTGCCAACCCTGCCAGATCGAATCGGCCAGGCAGATACTACAGGAGGCAGGTGGTCTCTCAAGTAACCAGGTCAAATGCCATGTAGAGCTTTATAGATAATAGCCAGCACCTTGAATCACACCCAGAAGCAAACTAGCAACCGTGCAGCTCACAAAATATCAAGGTATGCCCGTCACTGTGCTCTGGATCAGTTTGATCTTCCAGGTGGTCTTCAAGGGCAGCCCCATGCAGAGCAAACTGCAGTAGTCAATACAGCAGAAGTGTTTCCATGTCTGGATTCTGAAGTGATAGAATGGTGCTACCTGATTTCTTATATGCATAGATCTACTCTCTGATATTAGAGACTGATGCTATGCAAAACATTTTGACCCAAACAGCTACTGTGTTGTGTGAAACAGCTTTGTTTTGGCACCAAGCATGGCCTTGCCCTCCACACTGCTGCAGCGCTGGGCCCAGCAGTCTTAATTCTGAGCAAAGCTGAATGCACACATGTCTATGCAACATCTGGTTTCAAATGGGAAATGTTATTGCAGAATAGGGCTTTGATGTTTGACCATTTTATAATGTTTTTTTCCAGATCATCCCATCAAAGTACCTCAGTGTCGGTTGGCCCTGGATTGCCTTCTGGATAGAACTGCACTGTGAAAATTGGCTTGTTCTCATGCATAATTCCCTGCAGGATTTAAAAAAAAGAAGAAAAGAATTATGTTAGTCTTCTTCCTGGGGACAAAAATAATTATAAAATGCTCTTGTTGGCAAATCCTACATGCAATCAAGGCTAACTGTTTGATACAGTTTAGAGGTAGAACTGAAATTTATTACATCTTCAAGCTGGGTTTTGTCCAGTAAGCAGATGAGCAGCTCTTTAGTGAACATTTACAGTAGATTCATCCCTGAAATGAACACCACGGTATCTGTGAGTTCTGCGGAGGTTTTGAACTGGCTCTTACCTGCATTAACAGAAATGTTACCCAATCCCAGTTCCATTATAGGAGAATCACCTATGTATATTTGGTTCAGCATCTAAAATTAAACCCTGGTTTACTAAGATAAATACTACCATCTTTTTCACGACTACTTTTCACAAAAGGCCTCTGAGTTCCAACGAATGCAAGTTGCAGATCTGAACAGCTTCCCAAGGAACAGTAATCATGTCTTCTTTCTTTCACCATGCCTTGCTGCAACTTCAGTTTCCATCCAGCATGCTCTATAGAACACCCCCACTTCAGCTTAAGAGTTTTACTAACTACAGAGGGGGGTTGCCACCATGTCCAGAGCATTTCTCTTCTCTCCCTTTTTCTTTCCAACATACAGACAGAGGAATAGGAAATCATGGATTTTTTACTGGTCCCTATAAAAGTATTTCCCTGCTATCCTCCCATATACACAGTCCAATAAATCATCCAGTAATTCATCAGAGATAAATATTTCATTGAGGAATGGGCAAGGAATCTTTAAGAATTCACGGGAGTGATATTCTAAACAATACTGATGCCAACATATTCTTCGATGAGCAAAATCTAGTTCATCCTGTCCCATCAAATCCTTCAGATACCCAGAGAGGGGAACTCTTACCTCGTTGGTTTGATCGTTTGCATTCACAAACAGAGGCTTCCAGCCTGAAGGGAGGGAGTTCCCATCAATTGCATATCCATGATTCTGAGCAGTAATGAAAGCTTGTCCATTCAACATGTTCACAACTGGCTGATTCTGTCCTCTGAAGAGTCAGGGAGAGAAGGAATGGTTTGGTAAGGAAATTACTGTGTGTGTACGTGTGCGCACGTGTGCACGCATGCTTTCAAGTCATTGTTGATTCCAGGTGACTGCCTGGACTAGCCCCTGAAGTATTCTTGGTGAGATTTTCAGATGTGGTTTGCCCTTGCCTGCTTCCTAGGGCTGAGAGAGAGTGACGGGCTCAAAGCCACTGCCTGAGGTGAGACTGGAACTCACGGCCTCCCGGTTTCTAACCTGGTGCCTTAACCACTATGGCAAACTGGCTCTCACACTTAGCAGCCTGTTGAAAAGCTCCCTGGTGATATTTCCTCTTGCAAGCATGAAGCATATGGTAAGCCAGGGAAGTTGCGCAGCCCTGGAGAAATGGCTGCTTAGTGAGAGACAGGAGAGCACATGATCCTTGTGGTGACTTCGTTAACCAAAGGGCAAGAACACCACACTTCACGCCTCAGAACCTCTCCACATTCTCTGCTGAAATGAATTTTGAAAGGAAATTTTATTTCAATAAGTTGAATGAAAACTGAATGAAAAAAAAAATGCAGAAGCATTTTTCTGCAGCAGAGCACTACATTTAATCATATTCAAAGGCCAGAAATTTTATTGTTTGTTACTGCTCTACAGGAAAATGTTAAAGCTAAAATAAAATTACTTCTCCAAATCATATTCTTTGTGTCTTTGTAATCTTTGTTAGTCATTTGTTTTCCAAGGCCAAGAGAATTGACCATGATTACTTTTAAATATACCAGATTGCAGTGATATCATGGAAAGAAACCACACAAAATCCATGAAAGGAGCTTCTGAAATCATAGCTGCTTTTTCACTAGGTGTCTTCTGCATGATTATTTGCCTTTTGGCAGTGAAGGAGCCATTTGTTGCTGTTGCTGCTGTACTGAATGGGAAAGGGGAACTGCAAACGCTGCAGGGTGAAAGTTACTGACTGAATTGGTTGGGGATTTTTGGCAAATGGGACTTATTCCTAAGTAAAACCTACATTAGAAAAGAAAAGGCATTGTTTTACATCTTCTGCATCTTTTACATTCAAACTCTTGGAACCCTTGCTTTACCTCTGTACAACCTCTCAAACACTATTAGTAAGTATTCCATTCTCTCCTGAAGCAGGTCTGTCCACTCTACTCTTACCAGAGGGAGAAAGTTTTGACTGAGAGTTTCAGGGGCTTCTGTCTGGCCAGTACAGGTAGTCCTCATTTAATGACCACTTACTCAGCGACCATTCGAAGTTACAATGGCACTGAACAAGGAGATTTACTATGGGTCCTTAAGTTGCGGCCATTGCAGCGTCCCCGCAGTCACATGAGTGCGATTCAGGTGCTTGGCAATCGGCTTGCAATTACGACAGTTACAGCGTCCTATGGTGAGGTGATCACCACTTGCTACCTTTCCTGATGGCTTCCCACAAACAAATTCAATGGGGAAGCCAACAGGAGGTGGCAAATGACAAAAAATTATTTTTTACTAAATACAGAATACTTTGGCTGAGTTCCTCTCAAATAGATTTGTGCTAGATGATAGTTAAAAACACTCATGCCTCTTGCTTCCTGAACATTTGCACACATATGTCTCATACCTGTTTGCCATGGCCATTTTGTAGGAGGTTGCCCCAGCTGCTAAACCAGTAATGAGACTCCCCATACTAGTTCCAAGCAAAGGCTCCTGGCGATCATTTTTAAGAACCTAGACAGGAAAGACTTCTATCAACAATGACTAAAAATGCATTTTCACCTGCACAGATAAAATCCTTCTGGTTATAGGCATTATTTTAAATTGATTTCTAAACAATCCCCTTTTTAAAATGATATTGCCAACTTCTTCCTTGACAGTAATTTGCACATATTTAAAAGCTATGCAAAGGGAAATTGCATAAGGGCACCTTTTTTAGTTCAAAGAGTTGCAGAAAATCTGCCTTAAGGAACTCTTCTATTTCATGCATTTTCATGGAAACATGTATAAGCAGCAGAGCAAGCAATCCTAACTTAAACTGGGCTAGTTCTTGTGTCCAACCACCACCACTGAAGCGGGATGTGAGAAGTGAGATTTAAAAAGGCATACATTGCCAGGTTATAAACAATTGCGCTGTAATATCACTGAATAAGCTATTTAGTAACCATTCAGACTATGGCTTTTATCATTTTATCATATTAGTGCTACATATTTTAATCATCCTGTTTTCTTGTACTTTTCAGTTGTTCCGAATTTTATTCGCTGATTTAGTCTGTTGAAAACCATTCCAGGAAAATACATTTTTGAAGAGTAGCATTTGCTGTTGTTTATTTGCTTCAAACTCTTTGTGATCCAATGGACATCAGTTTGCCAGAACTGGCTGTCAGTACAGTAATTGCTGTCTTGTCTTCTTGTAAGCTCCTGTTTATGTTATCAGTAACAGTATTCAGCCACCTTATCTTCTCTTGACCTCTTTTTATCTTATCGTCTCTCAGCCTCTTTTTCCATTGCCTTTGATTTTTTTCAAGTATATTCCAAAATAGTCAAGATTTAGCTTGATTATTAGTGCTTTCAGTGAGCAGTCTAGTTTTACTTCATCTGGTATCAAAGCATTTGTTCTTCTTGTGATCCAAGGTATTCTCAGCAATTCACTCCAGCACCATGAGGCATTCATTGTTCCTTGATCACCCTTTCTGATGATCTGGTCTTCATAGCCATATGTTAAAATCGTTGCCTTGACAATACAATCTTTGTTGTCATTGTGATGTCTCTGCACTTCATTATTTTGGCTACTTGTCGAAATAGCAGACATTTCATCTTTTCTTGTATATATTTATATTGTTTAGCATTTTATTTGCTGATTTAAAATTCCCTGTGAACCTAGGAAGATCAAGTCTGTTACTACTCCACCCTCTTCTCTGTCTATTTCTGCTGGATTGGCATTGCCTGCTGACATACTGTAATCTTACAGATGATTACAGATATATTTAGCAGCAGTCCAGCTTCTATATTCTCTTCCTTTTCCTTCAACAAGAAACTCCCTATATCTTCCTCATGGCCAGCCATTAAGGTATATCATCAGCATATCTGAGATCACTGATATTTTTCCCAGTAACTTTAACTGCACTTTCTATTTCTTCTAGTCCAACATTTTTCATTGTATATTCTGCAAGTAAGTTAAATAAATATGGTGACAGTATGCAACCTTCAGCACTCCTTTCCAAGTTTTGAACCGTTTGCTCCATTCCAACTGTTGCTTCCTAGTCATCATACAAATTCTTCAGTTGGCAGATGAGATAGTTTGGTACACTCATTGGTAAACTCTTTTTAAGAGTTACCCACAATTTGTTGCAGTCTATACAGTCAAAAACTTAGTATAATCAATAAAACAAAAATAGGTATCTTTTTGGAACTCCCTTGCCTTTTCCATTATCCTTCAGATATTACCAATGTGGTCTTAGAAGTTCGCAAATGCTTCTTCTGAATCCAGCTTGCATATCTGGCAGTTATCATTCCATGTATTGTTAAAGTCTAGATTGCATGATCTTGAGCATTATTTTACTAATGTGTTAGCTAAGTGCAATTGTTCAGTTTTTAAGCATTCTTTAACAGTGCCCTTTTTAATACTGGAATATAAATTGATATTTTCCACTTCCTTGCCCACTGCTGGGTTTTCCATACTTGTTTACAAATCTCTAGTAACACTTGAGTAACTGCATAATCTTACATAGTTTTAAACAGTTTGGCAATGCCAAATATTGTTAGCAATATTTTTAGCACCATTTGACATCATTTTCCAGAATGTGTGATTCTAGTTAAGTAATCAAGCCATAGCCATCAGCAATCTTTTTTGTACATTACTGCCAGATATTTATGCCAAATCTTCTTTCTCCATTATATCTTTGCCTGGTTTGTCTTTAATTGTGCTCATCTTTGCATAAAAGTTTCCCTTTAAAAAAAATTTTTTTAATAGTCTCTTGTCCTTCCCCTTCAATTGTTACCCTCAGTTTCTTTGCATTCCTTATTTATTTATAACTCCTGTCTCTTTTTGCTCTTCTCTAGAATTTAGTTGGCTAAATTTGTCTCTGTTGCAATTAGTTTTCTACTGTACTTTTCTTCATCTTTTTTTCAAGAGTAGCATTTTAATAAAATGCAAACAAAGAAACTAACCATGGGTAATCTAGTTCAACAGCATCTTAACAAAGACATTGATTCCAATATATACTCTTTACCTTCCTGACATTTTCAATTAGTTCCTGTGCTTGGGTTGGATCACCAGGGCCTCCAGAAATGAAAAGTCCATCATAATCCATTGAGGTAAAATCATGATTCCAAGGCACTAAATATACTTCAGCACCTCTCTGGCAACAAAAGAGGATTGACAACAACAAAGATCATTAGGTAACTCAATGATTATGTGCAATGCAGCTAATAGGATACAGTCCTGAGTCTGAATATGAGAAAACTCCATTTAAATCCAGCCCACTTAGATTTGATTGGTCGCATTTGAATTTCTCTATTCTTAATCACTGTGGTTGTCTCTGAAAATGAAGTATAAGTAATTAAATGTAATATTCATTTTCAGAGATAACCACAGTATTAATTAGTATCCTACTACTAGACCATTTCTCCATGAACAATTCTTGATTAACCATATACTATACAGGTAGTCCTTGTTTAGTGACCACAATTGGGACCAGCAACTTGGTTGTTAAGCAAAGTAGTCACTAAGTGAAACTGTAATGGTGGTTATGACCTTACTTCAGCTTTTCTTTGCTTTACAGACCTGCAAAAATTGTAAATGTGAGGACTGGTATCAAAGTTACTTTTTCATCATTGTTGTAACTGCAAACAGTCACTGTCTGAGGCAGTTGCTAAACAAGGACTACCTGTAATTTATGTAAAATAAAATCTTTAAAATAAATATTAATCTTGCAAGGTTATTTTCAGGATAAAATAAAGAATAAAGTAAAGCAACAGTCTAGCTTCTGTATTCTCTTCTTTTCCCTTCAGCAACAAATTCCCTATGTCTTCCTCACAGCCAGCCATTCAGGTATGTCATCAGCATATCTGAGATTGGCTGGTGTGGGTCTTCCGGGCTCTGTAGCCGTGTTCTGGAAGTTTCCAGAACTTCCAGAACACGGCCACACCAGCCATCGTATGCCGGCCGTGAAAGCCTTCGACAATACATATCTGAGATTGTTGATATTAAAATAAAGAGCCAGATTGGTCTAGTGGTTAAGGCACCAGGCTAGAAAGCAGGAGATGGTAAACTCTAGTCCCACTTTAGGCATGAAAGCCGGCTGAGTGGCTTTGGGTCAGTCACTCTCTCTTGGCCCAACTCACCTCACAGGACTGTTGTTGTGGGGAAAAGAGGAGGAGGAAGGAATATTAGGTATGTTCACTGCCTTGAGTTATTTATAAAAATAATAAAGGCGGGATTAAAAAAATCTTTAAAAATTGTATATAACTATGAGCTCCACAGATAAGTGAAGTACATCTCTGCAGTAGTCACAATTGTTGGCTTTCTCAATATGGTAGCCCATTGTGAGAAGAATGAAAGAACAGGTACTCTGTTCTTTTCATTGTTCCCCTCCCCATTAATATGTGCATATACACATACATATACACACACATTCAAATATCAGTAGATATTATCAGTCCCAATAAGAATTTAATGTGTCAGTGTCTGTATTTTAGATTGCCACAACATCAATAAAATGTTATTTGAGAAATTAGCAAGCAGGGCTTTCTAGTTAGTCCTGAGTAAACTAATAAAACCACAGATACATAGAAAAGGAGTCTATTTGTTTTAGAAACACGATTTACCTTTACTAATAAACGAATAGCATTGTGCTTCAATCCACAATCCACAGCTACTACTTTGATTGGATTTCCTTTGCCATATATTCTGACCTCCTTCACATATGTTAAGAAAAAGAAAAACATTATTCTATATTTATTTATTAAGTAGAGATTTGCATCAGGTGCAGATGACTCAAGCTAAATCAAACTGTTTTTAACTGTTGTGTGAATTGTTTTGACTGTTTGTTTACTGTACACTGCCCAGAGTCACATTAGTGAGATGGGTGATTCTATAAATCAGATAAATAAATAAGCAAACAAACAGGTTAGGACAGAGTTAAAATTCATCCAAAGCTTTTGATGAACTTTGCTTTATCTGAATCACTCCTGCATTTATCTGGATTTTTTACTTGAGAACCAGTACTGCCTGAAAACCAGCATCTTCTGCAATGTGATGTATATCCTGGCCTTCTTCTATTAAGAAGCTTATGGCATCCCACAGCGATCCCTCATCCCAGCAACGAGGCCTTAATTCAGATACTGGAAGAATGTAGGTTTCCTTAGCCTGAGCAAGGAAGCGCCTTAGGATGTACAGTAGCTCACGCTGTAATATTGAGAGGTTCTTTAAACACAGAGGTATAGATAGAGGTATAAATTAACGTCTTCCTTGAGTTGAATTTGACTCCTGGCAACAATACCGCAATGACTTGCTATTGCCTTCTTCTAGGGTTCATCTTCTGTGGTTCCAATTAGTATCATCACTGTTGTCTGTTTGGCACAAAAGGAAGGAGGACATGGAGGAGGAGGCCTAGTAGTAGTAGCAGAAGCTGTGATTTTTTCCTGGTATCTTTTTCAGTCTTCTTTTCATTTCATTATCCAGCAAATCAGTTTGTGAAATGCCCCAAAGCTCTATGTAATTGTTGAGGAAGATAATACTGAGAATATCATATTTTAATATTTTAAGCAGCTATCTTCTCTTTTCAGCATGAACAATGAAAGTAGGGTCCTGTTGATTGAGAATGAGGAGCCATCTACTCCAGATTTCTCTTCCCCGGAATGGCCATGTAGATCCACCTCAGAAACCCATGAATAGGATATGAGGGCTCCCTCTGTCCCCTGCTCTAAACCCTTTCCAGTAAGAGATATTCAAACATACAATTTTTAAATTTAATTTTATTTATGTGATTTATCCCTTCTTCACTCTGGAGGGACTCCAGGAAGTTTAAGATAATAAAAAGCATAGTGCATAAAATATTTAGCTATCTTAACTAAAATGCTGTATGTTCCTCCATTACATGTTCTCATCCAGATTTCCTCAGCAACACCCCATCCCCTTTGTGCTGGGTTAGAACTTTTCTTATCTCCAGCCAAAGGAGCTGTCTGTGCTGTCTACAGATAATAGGGGATGTAATTCAAGATATCTGAAGGGCGCCAGGCTGTGGAAGACTGGTCTAATCCATCTCTTTTTACACGTCTATGTTGTGGCCATCATTTCATCACATCTTATATAGGAGACCTTCACGGAAATTATGTAATGTGCAAAGAAAATCTTTTCTGAATCTACTGCCCAGCGTTAATTTCACTGAATGGCCATCTTCTATATTATGAAGAAAGTAGAAAGAAATTCATTCTATCCATTTTTTTAATTCATGTTTTAATAATCCTCTAATCATGATTTATGTGGTTATAAAATAGAATTCTGCTCTTTCAGCAACTAGTGCAAAATTATCATCATATGCTTAATGTTCACCCTTACTGCCCCCACACTGATACAGATCAATTGATAAGTTATTGGTAGTTCCTAAGTGTGCCTATATTTAATACATTTTGTATCTTTTCCAGCAATAAGCAAGTCAGCATTCCTCATCCTCATCAAATCTATTGAACCTGAGACAACTGTGATTTTAAGTGCACACTTTCCCAAAGTCCATGTCTGATCTACTGCTGAGCAAACTATTTTTATCTGTTTAATAACCCCCTTTTAATCAGGCTCTTTTGGCACACCGATATTTCACAGCTGGAAGGCTTCATGAAAAGATGATCATCTCCTAACTGAATCATTTCACAGGTGAATTACCACTATTCTGGAGGAAAATAGAAGCTTCTCAGAGAAAAAAAACCTGACCTGAAGGGAACATATAAACTAGTAAAGCAGAAGTCCTCTGTGCAATCTAAATTTTGGGCCTCATCCACAACTCTGTTGCACTGCACAATACTGTGCTCCTCAATCTCTCCAGTCTCCAACATACTTGGAATCCTAAGGTTACATGCCAGGGGAAGTCTCAGTGATCCCCAGACAACAACTACAGACCCATAATTTTATAGTTCCTATTATGAGGAAAGAGAAGAGGGCTTACTGTGACATACTTTCCTGTTCATAAAAAAGTTCTGACATAATTTCCTGGTCATAAAGAAGAACAAACTAGTATTACATCTTTGGCTGAAATTTCTAGTTCCTTGATATGCAGGAAATGGCACAAATGGACTTGTGCCAGTGATATCATGAACCTCCAAGAGACATCTTTAATACAAGTTCAAACAGATACCACACAACATTCCTTATTACAAATGCTACTTAGCAAGGGATGACCACTGCCTGATGCAAAGGAGCAGAAAGCACTAAGATTTACCACTCCTAATCTGTTCACCCTATTTGATGTAAAACTTTCAAATTTCATATACAGGCAACCAGATTAACACACACACACACACACACACACACACAGACAAGCAAGCCTTCATCACATCTACCCTGACCTTCATTCATACTCTGTGGAAATAACCTCAGACCTTTCAAATGTCAAGGAAACCAGGATTAAATTTACTCCACTCCCCAGACTCTGCAAATGCAGAAAAAGAAATAAAGAAAATTAGATAATTTGTTCCACAGTTTCAATATATTCTGACAACAGCTGCCTATTGCCATTTTGGAAATATTATCACTCTTCTAACCTATTATTGATAATAAAAACTCTGAAATGTTATCATAGATTGATTTATATGAATGCCATTTCTTGATAAGGTTGGGCAGCCTTATAAGTCTAAATTATAAATATAAACAAACAAATAAATAAATAAATAAAGATCATTGTGTGCTATAATTGAAGAGCTTGGCTAATTGTCATTTTTATTTCTGATGTTACTTTATAACTCCATAAAATAAAGTTGTAAAGATAATGGGATCACAGGAGTTCTGTTCATCTTGCATCCACGTCTGCTATTTTCAGCATCTTTATAGCACTCATTCTTTGTACTGGCACAGATGATCAACAGCACCCACTTCTGGTGCTAATTAATTCTGTAAAATAGTTAAAACTGGAACATAGGTTTAGATCTTGAAGAGTCTTCTTTTCATTTTATACCCATCAAGTTCTTTTTTTTTTTTTTTAAGATACCAAACAGAATACTCATTTATCTGGTAAAAAAAATCAAGTCTACATACAATTGTGAAAATAATCCAGCTACCCATTTGGTGGAACATTAAGTTCATTCACTCAGCAGTAAATCCTACTGGGCGAATTGAGCTTATTCCCTGTCCAATATTCTTAGAACTGCACTCATTCCAACATCCTCAGCTCTGGGTGCAATTGTCTTGGGGCTAAAAAGCAGTATGAGGAGATCTCAATTTCCTCAGGAGCATGGAAGAAGAAGAAAGAGTGGAGCCTTAGCTTAAAAAATTATATGAATGGACACATTTCAGGCTGAATGCAAACATAGAACTGAAGACTCTAGCTTGAAAGAAAAGCGCTCCTGTTCTTGAATGGGATTTTTTATCAACAATATAAAAGTCAAGCTTCTTGAAAACCATGGCTACTAAACAAAGGGGCCTCACAAATGGCATCAAGGGGGCTGGAGATGTCAGGGAAACCAGCTTGTTCCCCAGCTGCTTTTAGAAAATATATAACTAATGTTATACTTCTGTCTATACAGCTATATTTGCTTCACTTTGAAAAAATAGAGTTCTGTCTCAATCACAAACATTTACACCTACTGTTTAGATCCACATAATTTTTTCTCAGAAAAGCCATGATCATGTAAAACGTATGTGAAGTCTTTTGCTGCATGAGGCATTATGAATTGAAAGGGAAATTAATTGGAACAAGATCTTGTTCTAATTCAGGAAAATTAATTGGAAAATTACGGATTTGGGATCTGAGTTCTAATTAATTTAGGGTGATTTTGTTGGGAAATTAATTAGCTTGTCTTCTGGAAAAAAATGTTGGATCAATACCTATAAATTTGCATTGTTCCACTTTTTCCCTTTTGAAAAATATTTAATTATTCTTGGCAGGACAGATCTTGGCAATATGCCATGTTGTGTTTTTTTAAAGCTAACAGGGTTCACACAAAATTGCAATTAATGGTGGCAGTCATAGGACAAGGCAATCCTGTATATACAGTAAATTATTGCAATAAATAAACAAACTTACATTGGACCTGCTAGGGATTTTTGAAGATTTTCTTGTATCCATACTTTTATGCAAACAGAATTAATATTTGCAGCTCCAAAACTAAAATAAGATTATCTTTCTGTTTTTGACATGTTTTACTACAAACTCCACACAGAACTGTTCATTAACTAAATATTTTAGGATGTGTAACTTGCTTTCCCATGTTATACCAGTCTTGTAAGCAAGTGCGTGAGTAAATATAACTAAATCACATCCTATCTAAATTCATGTGTTAGGCTGATTTTCCTTAGGACCATGTTGCTTGCTTCCTTATTTATTTCAGTTTATATGGCCACCCATCTCAAAACCATGACTCTGGATAGCTAACAACAATTAAAAATACCATAAACAATAACATAAAAATAAATACATAATCAGAAGCTAAGATAAAACCAAAAAACCATCAGATCAGCATCAACATAACCATTTCATAACCATAAACCATTTAGCTTATGTTAAACAGGTACTGCAGAAATCATCTAGATGACCCTTATGAGGGCATCAAAGATGCTGAATTTCCTTTTGGCCCTTTAAATCCTCTCATTTAGTTAGTCTTGCTTTGTCTTCAATGGTTGTGCAATTCAAAGTAGCCCTGAGTAATTGTCTTCAGAGATGAAGGTTTCAGTTAAGTTTCATTTTATTTTTAAAAGCAACTGGCTATTTCTGAAAATAACTGTTTTTCTGTTTAACACTTTAATAAATGTAATCAAATGGAAATTGAAGTTGATTTAATCTTTCTCCCTAACTTGGAAGTAATCTTATATATGTGACAGACCTTATATGATTGTCAAGTACATTTTGGAGAGGCTCTGGATCCAGGGCAGCTTTATAATATACAAAAATATGGGTATAGCATTCTGTCAGACATCCCATTTGATGTAGGACATAAATAAAATCTACCACATATTTCTTTTCAAATACAACAGTATGGTATGCCAGTGCAAGGTTCATCATTACAAAGACAACAGCCTCTGATTCAAAAGGATTGCCCAAACAGTTGTAGTAAACAGTGTAGTAATAGCAAAAATGTTCCCTGTGATATCTTCTCTTCATAGCCAAGTTATCAAGAAACTTGAGGAAATTCTCTCCCTCTCCTGGGATGAAGATAATTCATTTCAGAGGAAATGAAGATCACAAACAGATGATGAGAACATTTGGCCTGGCCTTCTTCCTAAAGGTAGGTCTGTTCTAAGCACATGACCCTGAGGCACAATGATGGTACTTGGCCTATCCCAAGCAAAATTCACATAGCATCTCATCATCATGATAAGCAAACTGAGCAGGACAACAGAAGATGCTGCTGTACTTCTATAGTATCTCAACTCAGAATGGAATCTTTACCTTTGTTGATACTTCAGCAATTAAGTTTTTCTTGTTCGGATCAAAAAATTCCACAGGCTGACCCTCAAATTCAATCTTTCCAAGAATAGTTCCCTGTTGAATTAAAAGAATATTGTTATCAGGTCCCGATGGACAAAAGACATTTTCATACCACCATCCCTCTAATTCCCAAACTCTCCAAAGCAATTCTATGATGACTCTGCATTGAAAAGAAAACATCAGCTTTGCCCCAGCTTCGCATAAATCACAGCAGAGCCAGAAAAAATACAATTCAGCTCTCACAAGCATCCAACACAGAGTAATTGCAGTGGTCCAAAGCTGGTTCCAAGTCATTATAAAGTGCTCATGTGGAATGCCCAAAATCTATTAATAGCTGAAGTAGTTGCCTTACTTAAACTTTTTTATACATTCTAAAGATTTGAAGACAATTGAAATAAGGAGCAGAAATAGTCTGTCACAGGCATAACACCATACTGATTGAAAATTTTAGAATCATCTCAAAATCCCAAATTCTTCAGATTGTAAATGTTAGGGGAGCAAGAGACCTATGGGGCTTAACACCACCATGGTCTGATTTAATATAATTTCCCATTCCCCCTCCTTTAAAAGAGAAAAAGAAAATGTGTTTGGCTTGTATTATGTCAAAAAGCCCATTCTTCTATTACAAAAAAAAAAAAAAACTACTAGTAACAGAAAAAAAAAAACAATTATGTTTTACAAGGTATAATGGATGTAGGTGAAAGAGTTCAACTCAGGTTGCTTAAACCAAGCAAGAACCATTTTGGAATGTAACATTAAAAATCTTAGGTACGGGTTTCTTCATATTCAGAGGAAATTTATCATTGTTATTTTCATGTGCTGAATTAATATTTCTGTTTAACCTTTTGATGCATTTTTGTCTGGGGGTTTCATGTTTTTTTTAATTTTCAAGGAAAAACCATCTTGACAATTTAGCTCAGGAAATGTGCCAGTAGAAAGGAAAATATTTTCTTTTTTCTACCTTTTTTATTTTGTTTTTTACTTCAATATCCATCTAGAAAAGATTATGATTAAGTCAAAAGTTTGGGAGATATTTTGTGGTTTGATTTATCCAGCAAAATGTTTTGCTACACCAGCCCTCTACATAGACTTTTCTAAACAGACCAGTACAACAACTCTTGGTTTTATCTACCTTGTCTCGAATGATTTTAGAAAGCATCCTGGTGTCAATCCCATAAAGAGCTGGAATCTGAAAAAACAAATGCAGGCATATTAAAAATTAAAAATAGGAACTTGTGGCAATTTCATCTGAATATGGAAATTAATTCATTTTGTGGCAAATAATATTGACCAAATATCAACTGAGCAAGATCATCTTGGCCTCAAAACACAGACAAGTTCAAAACCTATTCTATATATCACACTGTACAGCTCATATTACTTTCTTTTAAAAAAATACCATGGCAGTGCTATATGTTGAATATTTTAAGTGCATTAGTATTCAGTGAAAGCTGCTATCAAAGATGACCTTTCATTTTTTTTTCAGTCATAGCAAAGAAACAACCCATCAACATACAAATATTTATGACATGAACCAATATGACTAATAAATCAACAATGTCATAAGAACTGGGCTTGAAACTGCCACAGATTTATCTCAGTCCTGTATAGTTACTTTCATCTACAAACCAGTCAACAGAGCATCAATGTGATCAGTAACACAAGAGGAGATAAGTAGGTGTTTTATCATTATTCCTGTTAAAAGAATCCTGGGAAATGCATTTTTGGGGAAGGTGGGGATCTAAAAGGGAAGCATACATTATAAGGTTAAATTGAACTGATAACACATAATTTCCATAATTTCTCTCAAAGACTCCCTCTCTGTACAGAACCAGAAGTTGTACTATCAAGTTGTACAATGCTCTTCCCCACTGCAGCAAAGAGAGAAGAAGAGAGGGATGAAATCTCTGATTTTTTAAGAACCTGCAAAAATCTGCTGAAGCCCCCATTTTCCAGGCTGTTTTTGTAATCTAGTAAAATAAGATTACAAAACATACATCTTCCTTAATTTGTACAATGCAGTAAAACACAAATCACAACTAACATTTTAAAAAATATATTCCATAGAAAACATATACTGGGACAGCTCACCTTTTCTTCCTTCAGCCATTCACCCAAAGTCTTGACTGCCCGCCAGTGACTGTATTCATTGGTGTAGTCCAGGACCAGCAGGCCTGAAACCTACGAAGAAAATGGGCCTGTAAAACTATTTTTAAATTATTTTTTAAAATTCCTGGCAGTAAAGTGTTAATTCTGAGTCTGTTTTACCTAGGGCATATTCTAGAGGATCCTGAAAATAGCCTTTTAGCGATTAGATATTACCAAAGAATTCTAAAGAACATCATGCAGCCACCATTGGCACAACCAGGAATCTTTGTTTGAAATCAAACAAGGTGTTTTTGAATGAGGTGTTGGGTTTTTTGCTTACCTTGATGCCATCAGACTCCAAATACCTGTGGAGGCCAAGTTCATCTAAAGCAGCTGTGTCAGGGACGCCACCATTTCCTATTATTGGATTGACCAGGGTGACAATCTGCCCGTGGTAGCTGGGGTCAGTCAGGCTTTCAGTGTATCTGGATTTAGCACAGTAGGAAATTATTTTTCTAGATCAAAATCCCCATGTTAATTTTAACGCTCTCTGCCAGACTAGCAGGCTGCAAGACTGAATATAAGAAACCAGGTTAACTGCTGTGTTGAACTGTTAATTTAGCTGAGAATATCAATACTTTCTAAATTGGAGAGGGGAAGTCAAACATTGCCATTTTTGGCTATTAATTATGATGAATTGAAAGAAATTGTAATCAATTATTTGTCTATGAATACATGTACCTAAAGATTTGAAGGGAAAAATTCCCATTCAGTCCAATACATCATTCTGTGCAGGGGATAGCTACTAAGAAGTGTTCCCCTCCAACTCATGAGTTTCATTTTTAAGTGGATATATATCAAAAATGAAGTATTCTTGGTGTTTCCGCAAACGTACCAGGATTCTTCAGGATGATTTACACAGGCTGAATCTAATTCATTTCATTGTTATTTAAATTATATATAATTGAATTGCTATATTATTTTTCAAATATCAGCAAGTTGCAAGAGGCATTTTTATGGAATGCAGACTTCACTGTGAAAAGATGGATTGTCGCCCACAGGAAAACACTTTAACTAATCCAGAGTGGTGGTGGGCTGATATCAACAATTAAATGTGTTAATCAATTGAGAGAAATGGTGTGTCAGATTAAACAATTGGTATGAAATATTTCAGACTATGATTCTGTATTTTTGATATATGCAGATTTTGCCAATGAGTAAAACAAATTAGGTCCTTAGTTTTAATGAATGATTTTTGTAAGCCTGGAGGGTTATTATAAGCTAATGCTGTTGAAGTTAGTTAGGTAGTTTTGAAGTATATGAATTATTATTGCAGACCTAGCCTCCTGTTAAATGCTTTTATGGCCATTGGGCCAATAGCTGCTGAAATAAAGGTATAGATACATGGTTGCATTTTCTACTATCAATCTGATAATATGTTACAGAAAAGTATTTCAACAAAGCAAAAATCATTATAGAGTATAATACAACTATCGATGCTTGTTAAAATTTGCTGAACTTTGCATCTCCCTATATTGCTATTCCACAAAATCCAGTATAAAAAAAGTCATTTTTGCTAGTGCTGGCCCAAAAGGTTTTCAGATGGGCTAAAGATTTATGTGATTTGAAGAGAAAGCAGAGCAGGGAAACACAATGCCTTAAAGTATCACACCCTGTTCCCAGGCATGTAACCATATTGGCAGAATACTAGTAGGAGGGTTATCAGGCACAACTTACATATTCCTTTATAACTACAGCCATTTCTGTAGTTATTTAGAGTTATTTGAAATCTATTGCTTTTGGCTGGCAACCAATAGGGAAATCTCAGGAAGAGACTCTCAAGGAATTGACTAGTAGATCAGGCATATCTATCTGAATAAATATAGTTTCTCTAATTTGTAGCTGGACCACATACCTCTCTGTACTCCAAATTCTATGTTCATCCTGATGGGGGTTGCTCTAGCCTGGGTATTAGCACCCCATCATGTTCAGCCAAGTTTGGTTTACCCTAAGTGACCTGGATAGCACAGTATTTACATTGTGCCAATGACACTTTTCAACATGCAAGCTCTGTTGGCCAGGAGGAAGTGGGCAGGGTGTACTTTCTCATTGTTTCTGGAACTCTGATATTGATTCCTAGGAGACATATTCCGAATGCAGTCAGTGGTTCATGAGAAGCAACATGAAACTGAGGTCCATTTTGGGGAGCAGAGGAGCAAATGCATTTGAAAACAAGTTCAAAATGGTCTGCAAACATAACATTTTCTGCCAAGAAATCATCCTGTTGAAGGGGAATTAATCCTTCAGGTACAACTTGGCAGTGGTGATGCAGCAAAATATATTACCCATCATCCATCATGGTAGAAAAAAATAGCACTCTCCATCATTCTGATCTCTATGAAACAGTTGCTAGCAGGTGGGCCTATTAACAGAACTAGCAGTTAACACTGTCAAAGGAGTATAAATAATTATTTTCAGATGCAAAACCTTGCAACCACATTTATGTACTTTAATATAAGTGCTACTGTTCCCAGTGAAAGTAGGATTCTTTCTGTGCTGTGGTGCTTTCACATATAAGAGGGAGACTTTGCACAGAATGCGGCAGTACTGCTTTAACGATCTTCCCAAACTGATCAAAAGGTCTGAGTTTCCTTAAATTGGAATATTTCAAAAATTCTGTTCCAGATGGAAAAACTCATCCATCACATTAAATATTTCTAAAGCACAGGATAAATAGAATAACTACATAGAAAAGCTGGCCAGGATTGAACATACATCATTTAAAGAAGGAAAAATTGCCCTGAATGTGTTTTGAATACGTTCCTTAAACTTTCTAATGCTTTAATTTCTCTTAGAGCTACCTGAAGTTTCTGCTTGTTCTCTCCATTCTGAATCCTCCTCTGAGAAAGCCTCAGAAACCCTCTTACTTACCTAAAAGCAGTAAAGGTGATTCACAGTATTCTAAGTATGATTAATTAATTAATTAACTTGCATTCATTAAAAGAGATAACTTTAATTTACTATTCACATATAGGTTGCATTAAAAGGGCAATAGGTAAAAGAACAAGATGCATCAAAGGTCAAATTACATGTGACTGGAAAAACAAGTAATAGAACCCTGCACTGAAGTCACATAGGTAGATGAAGGGGGTAAAGTAGTAATTCAAAAATACATATATTTCTGCTGGGTTTTGAACCAACAACCTCCTACATATGACCCAAAATGACTGTGCTGTTTTACCACTGATGGTAAAAAGGAAGGTCTCAGAAGCTCTTAGATCAGGGCAACAATTACCTCAGGTAAGGGGATAGTTTTGTCTGCAAAGTCCCCAGTTAACTGTGGGTTAGTCTGCAAAGAATTACAGCACTCCGGAAGAAATGGTCAAGAGCACATAAGGTGACAATTGGAGATTATTTTCCAACCACAGCAGGAAAACACATTCGGAGATCAAATTTCAAGGGGATGGAAGTGAGTAAAGGCTGACATTGTCACTTCTGCCCTCAAAAAATAGTTGCTGTCCTGTTCTGATGATGGGGCAACTAGGCAGCGCAGGTAAGTCCTAAGGTGATTCATCTAATCACCATCCTGTCTTGAAGAGTGGCTACCCAGCTAAGAAGGCAGTAGCTGTTTTGCAGTGTCTGCTCCCTTGCAAACAATATAAAAGTACTCAATTTTTTAAAACGTTTCCTTTAGCTAAATCAATTCTTGCTATAAATCCCCTTTTAGAATCATCTAAGAATAAATAAAACAAGGATGTACTACATAGTGCAGGAGCAAAGATAAAACTGGACAGAGACCTGAAAAGGTAGGAGGCATAGACAATAGTTCCATATTATTAGGTGAAAGAGGGCAAGTGAAGACAGACAAAGGTGAGCAGCCAAAGGTGTGATAAACCAAGGTAAAAAATCATGCAGTAGGAATCCAGATGAGAGGCCATTAAATGGGCTAACCCAAACAACAGCATAGAAGTCTAGTGAAGAGCAGCGTTTTTGAGCTTGACAAGCAACGTGCTTAGGGAAGGAGGATGCTTTACAGCAACTAAATTAGGCAACCAGAAAAACCTGGATAAGGTGTGGTAAGGGTGGGGGGAATCTGCTGAACGCTATGAAGAACATGTTCCTTCCCTTTTTCTCTGTTCTCCTAGAAAAATCGAAGAGATGATTGCTGAGGTAAAAAAAAGGACTGGCTGCAACATTTTCAGTCAATGCTGGGTTATTTTCTTCCCCATTCTGGGAATGCTAGCTTCCCCCAATAGTCGTAGGACAGCTGGGCTAGTCTATGGAAGGCAACAATCAGAAGGAATCTGGTAGCAACTCTTTCCACTAACAAATGTTATTAAAAGGCATATGCATTACTTTTCTCCACAAACATTTTTCTCCATTTGGACTTTCCATTACTCAGTCTGAAAATATATTCTTAACACCTTTTAGTTAATAAGATTGTGCTAACCCATTTCAACTGCAGATGGGTTTTCATTTTGTTTAAGAATAACAAGAAGCTTTGTTTTTAAATAGGTTCATTGGCTGGATAGAAGATGATTCCAATTTTCCCTTTTATTTCTACCTTTGCAGCTTTTCTCCATTCCCCAGTCCTTTTTTCACACACGTGCACATATTATATATATGTATAATGACTCCCTGTGTCTATATGAAGAGGAAAGGGGGGGAAATGGAAATTTTCAATGTTAGTTTTAGGTTGTGAAAAGGTGCTGCTGCAGAAAATTTTTAAAAATCTAGAGTGGGAGATGTGGAAATACTGGCCTGGTTCATGCTTAAATCGTAAGGTGATTTTTGTCTTTGCATAACTTAACTGTACAAACATGTTTTAAAAATCTGGTTTAGGATTATATGAGAACATTGCTATTGTGTCTCTGAGCCTTTAATGCTGGCCTTGAAAGCAATGTTTATCTGAGTTGTGCCAGAGATTGACCGAAAAAATAGGACAAGCTGATAATTTTCATAGAGACTGTCTGGGTTCAGATGACACTGAATCACAAAGTTGTCAACTACATGTCTGAAGCCTGTCTCTATGATTAGGTTATGATTCAGAGTGTTGTAAACACTAAACAAATGACTGGATAAACTGTGGTTAAATTAATCACAGATAAGCATGTCATCATTGTTAGATGACTGGGAAGTAAAATAAAACCTTATGGTGCTCTGTTCCTCTAGCCCCTCACTAGGAAATTGGGAAGAATTTCCCAGTTCTTTCCCAACGGCCAGCCCATTGGGCAGCCATTGCTTCTTAGTGCTGCAGCAATTTGAAAAGGCAACTCTCCAACCTTCTCAAATGCAAAAGGTGAAGGAAGAGTGAAGCCTAATCACCAGAAGCTGCTATAAGCTTAATGGGATGTTTTCCCCCACAATGGAGAAAACGGGGAGAGCAAACCGGAGTCACTGCTCCTTCCTGCCACTAGCAAACATGATGTCCGTGGACGAGGCTTTATCAAGAGTACAGGACTATGGAAAGTCAATCAGGGGGCTTCCAGAAGTATTCCTAGAGGAGAGAGCAACATGAGCTAGTTTAGGCTGCCCACCTCCATCTCTGTTTTATGGGGAGCCAGGTCATCTGCATCATTATCTCTTTTTCTTAATTCCATGGCAAAGGCAAGCTGGATGGAAGGGGAGAAACACTATATATATATATGTGTGTGTGTGTGTGTGTGTGTGTGTGTGTGTACCTCTAATATATATGTATTTCTGGCTAAGAGGAATAATAGTGAAGTCCTGATGTAATTTGTGGTTCATACAGAGATTTACCAAACTGACCTGGGGAAGGCTGAGATCACACAGAATGAAAGGGTAAAAAATAAGAACTGTCCAAATGAGCAGCATCTCAGTCCACTAAATAAATGTGGATGCCACTTTATTATCCCTGTAGTATGACAAACAGATCGTGTGCTCTTACCCGGCAAGGCCAGTGTTGAATACAACTTCCCCAGCTGTAGAGGATGGATGACCAAAGGAGTAGCCTCTCATCCTAGTGCCATCTTCCAGCACCAAACTGGCAGCCTGGGCCTAGAGGAAAAAGCCCATGAAAATCAGCACTTCATTATTCACATATATGCAATTACTTCTAAATAAGACCAGCCTCTGTCAACACTCTCCAAGCCCCATTTTACCCTCTATAATTCTGTCGTCTATAAAAGTGAGCTGAAAATGGGAGAATTTTTGTTGCTGCGTGGTATTGTACGCCTAGGTGAGGAAAACAATTATTCTATTTTAACAATAGTATATACTAATAAAATTCAATGTAGCATGTAAAATGAATTAGAGATACATTAACAGAATTCAGCTTGGACTCCATTTTGTCAATTTTAAAACAAAAAAATCCTCCTCAGACCATGTGGGAAATTTGGTCACAATAAACAGTAGAAATACAGTAAAGGTAACAGTAAAAACAATAAAGCTTAATCAAGATAACAAGTGCTGTGAGGTTGTACGTAATAGTAACTATTGTTGCTAAAAAAAATTCAGAGGGTATTGACACTTTGCAGAAAGACAATGGGTGTTGCAGGAAACAATTCTAGGACATTTCTGAAGCCCCATCCTGGCCAATGTATACACAGTGCTCAGACTGAAAACTGAAAGGGTCTTCTGCAAATTTAAGATTTCTGGCATTGGGACCCTGTCTAACCTGGGGACAGGAGTGGTAGATATAACCACAAGGGGATTGACTTGGATTTAGAACCAATAGATGATGATGATGATAGATAGATAGATAATTAATAAGGAATTGTCAGAAGAAAACAAGGAAGTTTAATGCATCCTGCAAAATATTTCTGCACCTTTCCAGAGCTGTAAGATTTAACAGTCTTAATGCGATGCTGAATTATATATAGAAAACTTGGAATGTATCAGTTTATAAAGAACTTTGGAATTGCTGAGCTTAAGAATGTAGCTTCAAAATAGAGTTTTGCATTGTTGAAAAGAAATGACCATTCTGGCCCTAAAATCCTGGACTGAAGATATGTTTTTACTCTCAGCCTTGACATAAACAATGTCAGACAAATCAATATGTTTCCATGTGGGCATGGTTTTTTATTATTTAAAAACTGAGCCATTTTTACATTGTAATATATATATATATATATATACTGTGTATGTATGTATGTGTATATATATATGTGTGTGTTTGTTTATTTATTTGTTTGTTTGTTGGGGGTGATATAGTTTTGTTGCTTGGGCATGCATACATGAGAGCCAGTAAGTTGTAGTGGTTGAGGTTCTAGACTAGAAGTGGAAAGACCCAGGCTCCAGTCCTCCTTTAGGGATAGAAGCCAGATGGTTGACTTTGGGCCAGTGACATCTACTAAGCCACACTCCGCCAGTGTGTTAAATTATGGTCCATAAACTACAATAAAGAGGCTTTCATCCTACAGTGGATTAATTTGGACTGTATATACATATACACATTTTGTATTTCACTGTTTTTTATATTCTAACAATAGAAATAAAACTTTTAAAACCTTTCCACAACTACTTCCCTTGATATGTCTCTACATTTTCACTGTGAATCACATGAGTCTTTTCTATGTGGTTTGGAAAGATAGAGTTCAAGAGCTCCAGCTGGCCAAAGATGTGGCTGCCACATATTTGCAATAAGCACAAGCCCTTCAGGTCTAACAGTACTTAAATTCTGTTGAAATATTAAGGTAATGTGTTTGACACATGTGTGTCAGCTTCTAGAGAAGCGTATGTCCCACCTTATTCCTTGGCTTGGCTTTCTAAAGAGAATGTTTCCATCTTCTAGTCTGAGGTCTTCATCATTCAACTGATATTTATTGGTCACATACATATCCCACCTTTCCTTCAGGAGTTCAAGATGACTTACATGGGAATCACTCTTCATTTTATCCCTCCAAAAGCAAACCACTGAGATATATTTGGCTGGGAAGAGTAGCTACAGATTTCCTAGTTTTCCTTAAAGACTAAAACAATCAATTAATTTCTTCATTTCCATGCATTCTTTGATCTTAATCAAGGATCTGGTAAATACAGACAGAATTTTCATTAGTGCACAAGGCATTCCTGCAATTTTCTGAGGCAAAGAACCACACATCTTCTTACTCTATGTGTACTAATGCAGTACACTACTCTATGTGTACTAATGCAGAGCAAAATTCTGGCCAAAGGTTCAAAGATCCTCTGAGGAGGGGCTAGGGGCTGCACTGCCAAAAGCAGTAGATTGGGTCAGGACAAAAAATTAATCACATGATTTTAAAAAATTAATTAATGATTTATAAGCATTAAAATACAGTTAATACCATTTCTCTCCAGTCTTGTATTTAATCATTTTCCCTTTCTGTCACATTCAACACCACAATCAAGTAGTAAAGTTTGGAATTTCAGGGACTGCAGCCACAGCTTCCAGGAGTTGCATGTGGCCTCAGATTATCTATCTTTGATCTAGTGGATCAGAAATGGCTCTTACATTTTGAAAGCCTCAGTTTCAATCCCCTCACTTTCACCAGCAGTGACCTTCCTGTGATCAGAGTCTCCCTCTTTTAGTCTCATCTCCTTGCCTACAAATGAAAATAATGATTTAATTTCTAAATCTTTCTTCTGAGTTAACGGCACAATTCCCTGGAGACTTCCTTGGAGAAAATCCCTTTGAAATCAATAGCAGTTATTTTGAATAACTACAATCAAGATTGTACAAGTGTGTTATAAAATTCTGATTGGTGTTAACAAGCAAAAGGTTGCACTATTTGATCCTATTATTACATTGCCCAAAGGGCCTTGCACAGCATCTTAGCATATTTCTAGACAAGCAAATACTTTCATGTTTCTGATTTAGTATCATCATTATTTAAGAACAGACTTGTTTATGCAGCATTCCTGAAGCAATTATTTTTCTTTAACGTGCAAGTGTGGACCTTACCATGTGTCCCTCAGTTGATATGCTGGTTTTTTTTTTAATGTATTCAATTTTAATTTACAAATCATTAAATGATTATATTGGCTAATCAATTTCCTGTGAAAAAGAGATGGTGGTTTCCACATGGCTAAAATGTCTTCTGCAGGATCATGTTTGCTGAATTGAGGTTTTTTCTCTTCCCTGCCATATTTCACCTGATATATTGGCATGGGCACTAATCTTTATACTGTAGTATGGCCTAAGAAAAGAGTACTCCTATTACCATTATACAGTTCTACCATTTGGTTTTTTATTCATAATTAATGATATGTCACTAATATGAATGCAGCTCGGTGGCATATAGTAATACATTTGGAATTCTTTTTTTGTTTTTTTTTAAGTGTAGCAACCTGCTTTGTCCATAAGGATTTTTAATAGAAACAGAAATATTTTTTTAAAAAATGAACAGCACATAAAAAGAGGACAAACTTTAGAACCATGTGTTCAAAGTTATTCAGAGATTCATCTACTCATTGGATGACAGTTGGCATAAACTGAGGTTTTGTGGAAGAAAAAGACATCTGCAAAATGGAAGAGAGCAAATGAGACATCTTTGAAGAGGCAGACGGTCAAAGTGTCCTTGTGCTTAGAAGTTCCATTCCATTGGAATCAGCATCCTTTCAAGCATGGCGTATGTGAATCTCAATCTTAACCTCAGTCTCTCATCATAGCACTTAGTTGCTAGTCCCCAGAACTGAGCACAGATTTCAAGATGGGCCTAACCACCTTGAAATAAACTGGAATAAAGTGAATAAACTGAAACAATTACTTACATAATTTGTAAACAAAGCTTCTTTGATATGGCCTAAAATTATCTTTTTTGCAGCCATATCACACTGCTGAATAATAATCAATTTACCATCAAATACAATTCCAGCTTCTTTCATCCTAACTCCTGTTTCCTAACTGAACAACTCTGCATTTGTATTTGTTAATTTACTTTGTATCAATTTCAGCCCATTTCTATAAGCTATAAAGATTATTTTGAATTGATTTCTGCCTTCTAGAGTATTAGCTGTTCCACAAAAATTTATATCATATTCTCTCCATTTCTACATCCAAATTCATTAATAAAAACATTTTTGAAGAGAACAGGTCTGGAATTGAATCGTCTAACACCTAACTTAGTATCTCCCTTCGGTTGGATGAGAAACTCATTGATGAACACTCTTGGAAAATGATTTTCTAGCCTGCTATCCACTTAATTGTCATTCTATACAGCTGACACTTAACTAGCTTGTGGTCAGAATATCATAGGGTATAATGTTTTGCTGAAATCAAAAGATATTATACATATATTTATAGCCATAGCACTTTTCAAATAACAAAGGATGTTAAGTAGAAGAAGATCACCCACCCATCAATGATGCTGTAATTTGGATTCCTGCATCATATAACAAGTTGGACTTGACCTCTAAATGGTTCCATCTAACTCTACTGATCATATAAGAGAGCCAGCTGGGGAATACAGCTGAACTGTGGGGTCCCTCCTCTTCAGTCAGAAGGTCCAGAATATGTTGTACAACATATTCTTCACAGTACCAGCAGTACTGTGGTCAAGATTTGCAAGATGGAAGGCCTGGTGTCATGATCCAAGTTGTTCTCTTTTTGTATCTGTGTCAGCGTTGCCCACACGTGCAAAGAAGTACGATTCTGCACCTGCCATCTTGCAGACTCTACTTCAATGGATGCCTTTGTTGGTGCCCTATTGTCCACCCCATGAAGCCAAACAAGATCAAGAAGCAAGGTCTACACAGATATCAGTAAGCTATAATGCTAGCCTGGGGTAAATAAAGAATCTTGGAAGTGGTAAAAAGAATTTGTTAGCACTGAAGATGTTACCTAGCCGGGTAACAAAACATTTGCAAGAAAACAACCAAGCTCAGAGAACCCCAAGGATTCCACAAAAAGAATTTTCCACTCTCATTTATAGTGAGGTCATTAAGGTAGAGTCTCTTTGAATGATTTGAAATGCTTTTTCCCAGATTTTGTGCCACCTGGGCTGAGTTGCCATTTATGAGATAAATTGCCAATGGTCTTACCTTCTGTCTCTTGATTGTTTATGTCTACTTTCCCTTCCATTCCTTTCCCAGCCTCC